TGGATAATGAATTTTTATAAGAATTGTTTTCATTTTATTTAAATTTCAATTAGAATAATTTATTTATAAAGTTTAAAAAAAATTAAAATTCTGTATTAATTTGTAGCGGTTAGACCCTTGACACAGATGATTGTCTGTAGGAAAATGTTAGTTGTAGCCAGCAACAGCACGTAGCAGCGATCGCTGACTGGTGTCTATAAACGAATGTTTAATATTTTTTGATGCAACAAAAAATGTAAATTCCTGAGAACAAAAAAAAAAAATGTACAAATTCACCGTCATCACAATAACAATTTTAATCATCACTTTTTAAAACAATAAACATTGCTATGAAGTAAAGGTAGTTAAAATAATAGCAGTGTCAAGGGAAAAACCGTCCTTTTGACACTGTTTTTTTTTTCGGACAGAAAGGTTAAAGATTGCTGAATTTTTTATTCTGCTGTTTATGTGTGGGGATATCTCTAGCCTCTGAGGATCTCCTTAGTAGGTTTAGCATGGAAATAATTATATAATAAGGCAATCAATAACGAAAAATGTGAAATGAAAGCAAGGTTTCAATAGTAAGAAAAGAGAATTCTAGTTGAATGCAGTCAAGTTAAGGCAGGGGTCAGTTCCTCTTGGACACTGTGGGAAAAGGGCGAGAAAGTCACTTGCTTCAAGTCTCTTCTTCATCTGTGAAGAGATTTTCCAGCATTCACTGTCATATAAGAGGACTGATATTACGTAACAGTTCAGTACATTTTCATTGTTTCAGTTGTCTCAAGTCTCTTCTTCATCTGTGAGGACATTGTCCAGCATTCACTGTCATATAGGAAGACTGATATTACGTAACAGTTCAGTACATTTTCATTGTTTCAGTTGCTTCAAGTCTCTTCTTCATCTGTGAGGAGATTGTTCAGCATTCAATCCCATATATGGGGACTGATGTCACGTAACAATTCAGTACTCTTTTTTTTTTTTGCTGTTTTTAACAGGGTTTTTCTGTTTCTTAATACACTGCTTGGCTTTTGGAATGCATCTTTGACTATCCCAATGCGCCTTTTTACCATTTTCTAAATCCAGTGGCAACTTCAATTTTTCAGAACATCCTTTATACATCTTAATTTTTCATATTTGAACATGATTTTAAATAATAAAAACAGAATATAAACCTTGTTTATAATAGAATGAGAATAAAATATATAGAAAATGATTTGCAGGGAAACTAAAAAAAATCTATAAAAATATTTTTTTTATACTATTTGCATTTATCAAAGTCTTTCGGTAGTTTTCATCTCTGCCTTCATCAGGTGTCTTTCGATCCACATAAGCTTCAAGGAATTATTTAATCTATAGGGCAAATTTTCTTCAATCTGCTGTCCATGTTTGGGGACATCATGTCATGTTCTTATTCAGTACTATTCGGATATTGCTTGTCCTGTTTCCTGTGAGCCTAAATCTGTACTATTTGCATAATGATAGAAGTCTCAATTACTATGCTATCTAATTCACGAACAAATGCTTTAATCCACTATCCTGTGGGACAGTCCTCAATCTAGAACTTGGAGCCTTAAAGTTAATCTTCTTATTATCTGCCTGCTAATACCAGTGCTGCTATCACACTTGACCTCTTTTGCCACCACTTCTCTTACTGCTGCTGCTGAAGTTTTACTGTCATATCTTTTTCTCCCCCTCTATTAACGTCTCCCATATAGCATTTATTTCTATTCTAAACCTATGGAGGAGGTTATCCCAGACTAGTGTATGTGTTGATACTTTCAAACCTCTGAAGAAATTAGTGTATATACTACCCTTGTAGATTAAATGAAGGGTTCAGTTTGAAATTCTATGAAGGCCATACAGATCGACATACACCTGAAGAAGGCCGGAAGGCACAGCTGCTGAAACATTGTGATAATAATAACAAAGAAGTTAATGCATAGTTTCAATGTAAATAATGATAACACCTTTGTACTACTTAAATTAATTGGTTCGCTTGTTAAAAAAAAAGAGGATATTTTTAGGGCAATAATCTTTGTAGACTGCCATTCGTTAGACCTTTCTCAAGCCATCGAAAAATATTAAGTTTATTATTTTATAAACGGTAATCCTGTTCGTCATATAAATACAGTGTCAAATTGATCCCGGTTTTGTTAAGGATTTATCCGAGCTTTGTTTCATAAATGTCAAGTTTGAAACTCTGCTTAAGTCATTGAAAAATACATACTGTTATGAATTTGGGGAAAACGATAACATTAGCAGTTTCAAACACAATATGCTTTTTATAATAATGTTCAACTTATAAAAGACCCAAGAGCCACTCGTAGTAGAAGTGGCTCGTATGAAGAATCTCTTCCAGTGTAATTTATATTTCGGTAATGGAATACGAAGGGTGGTCCGCTACAATGTGTGAGGCGCGGCGAGTCTTAACCGTGAAGGTTGGTCCTGGTGGAACGAAGGAATGTAGCTCAACTGAACACTTTCCATGGAAATAGCGATGGAATAACAAGATGCTTGCAATGTTTCGTCTGCTGGAAAACGACTGTAGGGTGTAAAATAATTCATCACTCACATGGCCGCGTTGACGCTTTTAGACTGTATCGAGACTGAAAAATGAAGACTGACCAGTTATGTACCCATTTTGACATGATTTGGCACTTATCAAGGAAGAAGATAACAGGAGGAGTCAGGTACTTACTGGTGCGGTACTGGGAACCGACCATTTTTCCAGCATCTTTAGCGATGGATTCGATGTAGGAGTTCTATTTGAGGTCTGGGTTGAGCTTAAGTCCCAATAGGTGCTCAAGGCACGGGGTCTTCCTGAGAGAATACCCGTTCATCGCGATAGACAAACATTCAGGGTCCGCTTGAAGATGATGGAACATTACTAGTTTGATTTTTCGAGGCATTGAATGTGAGCAGCCTGTTTTCCCAGCACTGAGCTGTTAAAGCTAGGTCAGAGTCGAGATCAACTGCTAGTGTTTTTGTTCTCGCCTAACCAACGAAGTTAAGCAATGTCAAGCCTGGTCACTAACTAGATAGGTAAGCACTTGAGAATATCAGGTGCTGTCAGCTTGAATGTGCAGTTGGTGTAATGTTTTCGTCTGTAGGAAATAATTCTTCACCCACAAGGCTGCATAAACGTTTTCGGATTCTATGGAAACTGGAACGTGAAGACTGAGCAGCTCCTGCCTTAAGTTCTAATAAGCGAAAATTCAGGGTCCGCTCTGTGGTGATGGAGCTTAACTAGTTAGGACATTTGTAAATAAAAAGTACTGATAACTCTATAAGAGGTCAGGGACTGATTCGAGACAGTATTCATGTTAGAATGCGAAAGCCTCTACTAAAATGATAAAAAAAATCAATATTTTTTATTCTGAGAATCAACACCGCATAGGGATCGTCAGTTTCACGCTTAAATGCAATCTTCAGGCCACACACACACACATACATAATATATATATATATATATATATATATATATATATATATATATACACTATATGTTTATATATATATATATATATATATATATATATATATATATATATATATATATATATATATATATATATATATATATATGCTACATGTTTATATACCTCTATACACACACACACATATATCTTTCAGTCAACACACATGTACACATATATATATATATATATATATATATATATATATATATATATATACATACACACATATATGTCTATATACATATGTATACTATATCCACTATATATACTACATATTTATAACACTATACCTATATACACACATACACATATATCTTCAGGCCACACACACACGCACACATATAATATATATACACACACACTATATGTATGTGTATATATATACACTATATATATACTACATATTTATATACATATACCTCTACACGCATACGTATATATATAATATTTATACATATATATACTTTTAAGCTATGCTTTATCTATGCGTAAAGGTGCTCATTATCATTGATAGAGCTTATGACATTCGAGGATCGCCGCTTGGTGTTAAACTTTAGTGCGCAATTTATATATATATATATATATATATATATATATGAATAAATACAAAAGGAAATTGTCCTTTCACAGACATATATTTCGTGATATCTTATTTTTTGCACACACACCTACAAATATATATATGCATATATACGAGTGAATGTCAAAAGGTATCCGCACTCTTGTCTAAAGATGTTATGGCGAAAATACTGTTAGTTTTAACCAACCTTCATATATATATATATATATATAAAAATGAGAGAATGGCAATTTGATGGAATGGTAAATACATAAGTTAATTTGTAAAACTTTTTTGACATGCTTCGGTGATCAATCAACATCTTCGGAAAATCAGAATTTATTTAAACAGTCGATGTGTCTTTATAAATAAAATATTGATATGGCATCCTTTTTTCTGGTTGCGGTAAAACATCCCAAGTAAAAGTTTTCTATATTATCTTATGTATTTGCCATACTGTAATGTTATTAATGAAAATCTTTACAATTTTGACATTATACATTGGAACCCTTTTAAAAATGGGTCCTTATTAACTGGGTGCTTTTTTACTGGTCAGCAAATTCATCGTTACAAATTTCATTAGAACTCGAAATACTGATTATATTTTTTTTTTTTTTTTTTTTGTTTCCTTGAAAAAGACCGAAATGTCATTAAATTACCAATGAATCTTCATTTAATCTATGACTTCTGTTAGTCTTAGTATCTGGGGAGTATCTGGGAATTGGCATTTGAGGTATCTTTGTTGTTTGGGGATTTTCTGGAAGTACATTTCTCTTTTCCAGAATTGCCGGACTTGCTACTTCTTCATAATTGCTGGATGCACACTGGCTTCCAGTTTCTGGGAAGAGAAATACATCGTCTGGCTCGAAGCAAGAATTGGAATATTTAGTTGCTCGAGTATGATTTTGGCTAGAATGTGTTTGGGAGACTGGGGACAGTTGATCCACTCCTTCTTGTTGGGTCTTCACAATTTGGTATGTCACAAGTCCTTCTTGCGCTCCTTCTGATCGAATATAGACTATCGGAGGGCGCTTTTCTGATATGGAATTTGGATCCGGCCTATTGACCACGCCAACTTGTCTGTTCTGGAACGCAGAACTGTTTAAACGTGGTTTTCCATTCCCTGCAAGAAAAGACAAATATATATTGTTTTTAAAATGATAAAAAAGGACCTACATCATATTTTCGCGTAATTTCTTATATATCGTATATACTCGTGTATAAGTCGACTTCATGTATAGTGCTATTTCTGATTTTTTTTACATGAATTTGAACATCTCCAGAAAAAAATTAACTGTGTATAGTGCAACAGGTCACAGAAAAAGCATGATTTTTAATCACTTGAACAAAAAAATTACCTGCTCCCTACTATGATTTCCATAACAACTACTGCACTCAAGTATATATGGTATACGGTATATATAATCGACTCTCCCGTCGAATTCGACGTATGAGGGTCAAGCAGATCAGTTCCTAGGAACCTACAGCCCAGACACCAGCAGATATGATTTGATTATAGTGGTGGAGGTTTTTTTGCAGCACCATCCACACTTTTTGAAGGGCCGAATACAGAGACCTGGTGCACTACGTGCCACAAGGTTCCCAAACGAGCCTTCAGGTTTTGAATTCAGAGTTGTCCTTCTCCTTCTCAGTTAGCATCCAAAGCTATAGAACCCAGCCTCTCCTACTATTTTCCCATAGCTGGAGAGAGAAAAGGATTTATACCTTTCCCAAGGGAATTATTAGCACCTAAGTGAATGTAATGGATTCGACTGGAATTCGAACTCGGCTCTCCGATTCCTTAATATATTCAACAGTATATATATATATATATATATATATATATATATATATATATATATATATAACTGATTTAAAATATGTTTTTTCGCTACACAGTTCTAACCATGTTTCAAAAATGGAAACTAAATGCTTAGAATTTAATTTTGTAATTAAATGAAAGACAATTAGTTCCATTTCATCCTCAAGCGAATTTTGGAGTAACTTATTTTTAAAATAACTGGGTTTTAAAGGCACGGCAAAAATAATTTACAGTTTCCAAGGATACAGAGAAATCCATTCATCCAGACAAGGGGTGGTTGCGTGTTCATTTTATTAACTTTTGTTTTATCAGTTATTTGTTACGTTTGAAAAAGGTTTACGTTTAGGTAGGGGGTAGGGATGTATTTTTCAATGAATTCTGACATTTTTTAAATGCATGTCTTCTGGATTTTTTTTTTAATTTATTGTTAACGGCAAAAATTCTTACGGCATTTTTTCTATTTGTATACTTCAAGATTTTTTGAGGATGTTTATGTTAGAATACGTTTTATTTAAAATTTTCACTTTTTTTAAATTTTTAAATTTTTAAATAATTTTTAAAATTTGATTTTTCACTTTTTAATTTTTAATAGACTATATTTCTTTTTAAAACAAGTAATTGTATTAGAATTATTTACAGTATGTAAAATTATTTTTTCATATCAAGTATAAATATATATATTACCAGGTCACATTTCTTTTTATAAAATTTTATATTTAAATATTATTTGAGTAAAATTTATGATAATGACGGCAAAAAATAGCTAATTCATTTCTCTGATTTAGTACACTTTTATTTTTTATAAACTTAGCAATATATAGTGTCTCATTTATATACAAAAGACATGGGTCATTTAATATGAAAAAATAATTTTACATATAGAAAAAATGCCGTAAGAATTTTTGCCGTTAACAATAAATTTAAAAAAACAAACAAACTGTGTAGCGAAAAAAAGCATATTTTAAATTAGTTAATTTATAATATTAATGCTCTGTAAATTCTTACTGTTCTTTCTTATATATATATATATATATATATATATATATATATATATATATTTATGTCCGGAAAGTATCCGTCCTTTTCAGTATCTTTGCTTTTCCTTTTCGGTTTTAACTGATAAATCACCAGATACCTCCCCTTAAGATCTAGGAGGTATAAAAACACCCTGTTATCCGTCAGTAGACGAGTAATCTGAGTAAAGTGCAATAAAGCTTTGTTATAAGTTTATTCACTGGTTCTGCTTTTACTATAGGGGTCTTAATCCAGAATAGGCTTGAGTTTCAAATTTACTTTAAAAAAAAAAAAAAGAAGAAAAAAAACAGATGATGAGTTGATCTGAAATTCTCAAATCCGAAAGTTTTTCAGCTGCTGACATGACTTGCCACAAATGGAAAATTTCAGAAAATACTGATTTTCAGAAAGTAAGGATTTTCTCACGAGCGAGACTATACTGACGAGATAGGTGAATACCTATGATGTCAGTATATTCCCGCTCGAAATAAAAATGATCTTGAACAGAAAATCATCATTCTCTACCAAGTGTTCCATGAAATCGAACTCAAATTAAACCTTACTAAAACAGAAATTATGATCTGGAACTGGAATGACTAGTAGTGATGGCACCTACCCAAAATCCATCTTAAAAATTCAGGATTTGGAATTAATAAATAAGCACTTCAAATACCTCGGTGTATGGATCAACCGTAACATATAAGTGTATATATATATATATATATATATATATATATATATATATATATATATATTTTGCCCAAAGCCAAATTACTAAAAAAAAAAAAAAACTGAAATTTAACATGAAATCTTGAGTTATGTACTAAAATAGCCTCGTCAAATCATGACTTTTATGTGGATATCATACATAGCGCCAAATTCATTTAGAAATATCTAAACTGTTGTATATAACAGCTTTTATATATCAATGATTAAAAACGGCTTTAAGCGCGTGAAGTCTGTGTGTTTTCGGCGAAGACCACCTTTTTTTGAATATTGTGGACTGTCACTACAGAATCACACAAAAAGAAATACATCAAATAACAGAAACGACTTGAGGACTGCCAACAGCAGCAACAACTAAAATGGATAGCACATTGTAATTCAAAGAGAAAATAATGACATAATCGAGATGTTGACACTATACTCCACTTCAAATAAATGGTTATGAAGCAGACTCCCATCTGTGTTGGAAAGAGTTATAACATCTACCGGAATTGAGAAACTCATTTTCCTGAAAATATTTTAAGAGAAAGATTTTATAAATTTCAACCGACAGTAGTATTGACTTTTTGGTCAATGAATGTAAATTGGTTCCTTGTTGTCTACCATGATCGGCACTTTCCAAATCCAATCTTACATGCATATGTTTTTTTTACTATTTTCCAGAGTATTCCTGTCATTGGCTTTCAATTTCGACAGAAATATAAAAAGTATTATACTACTGGCATTCTGCCTTCTCGTGAATTGACTGACTGATTTTTTACGGCTTATCAACCTTTTCTAGGTTATTTGAAGCCAAAACATATTTTGAGGGAGAAAAGAGATAGATTCTAGATGTGAACAGATTAAAATTGAAGTGAGAGTGAAAGCGTCCATTTGAAGAGTCGGTTCCACAGAGCAGTAGTTCGCGAGAAGAAGTTGTTCGAGTGGAACTCACTTACCTCCGATGGAATATAGAGTGGAATGTGAGTGGATTGATACTATGTAAGTGGCATGGCGTGTCCTTCCCGTGAAGGTTACAGCTGGCGGAATCAAGGAATGCAGTTCGTCTGAGCACTTTCCCTGGAGGTAGGTATAGAGCCGTGAAAGACTTTCGACGTCTCGTCTGTGAGAGAAAGCACTTTTGGGATGTGATAGGAATTTTGGATGTGCAGTCAACTATTTTAGAAGCACGCCACCCTAATCTAGTGACTGTTGAGTATATATAGTAAAATAAACATAATAACCAAGAAATTACTTACGATTTTTTCTGTAATAAATGACAAAGCAAATGCCAAGGATGATAAAAAATATAAAGAGAAAAGCCAGAAGGATCAAGATGATCATGTCGACTGTGCGAATGGACGTCTGACTCAGATTTGTACTGGTTGAAGGTGCTTCCACTTTATCACAACACTTGTAGGGGCTAACGCAAGTTACGTTCACATAAGGGATTTGCTGCAGACGCCGGTCGTAAAATCGAAACCTTGTCATACGGAGTGCCAAATTATATTCTATATTGTATTTTCCCACCTGGAAAAAAAAAATTGTAGCATGGATTATTTTTAATGGCTTCGTCTCTTTCTTTCTCTGTGTGCGTGTGTGTTTTGTGCCCTCCGGCAAATTTTCTCTAATAAGGTTTCCTGAATGTTCATACTGATAGACTAAATAAAATGCGACTACTTAAATATAGCTACCCACTAAAAATAACGTTTAAAGTAATAAAAATATGACGGATTAATATATAAAAATCCATTATTCATATTTACAGTGATGTTCGATAAAAGTGACTAACCTGATTTTTTTTACTTAAAATTTTTTCGCCTATTATTTTTTTAGGTCAAACTAATTTTAATCTTATCAATATAAAGACCCTTTCCGACCACCTAGTAAAAAAGTTTACTCACCCTAAGGTATTCTGTTGATAATTATAATTTTGGATATAAATGAGATTTAAGTAAAAACTCTGTCCAAAAAAAGTGACTCACTTATTTCCTGCAACTAGTAATCAATAGAAACATAACCGAACAGCTTTAAATAAAGAATAATAGAAGTATAATTTATTTATAATAAGTAATATAGTTCGAAATATTTAATAATCTATGGGTCCTCCTTTATTTTGAATAACCTTTTCAACCCTTTTTGGCATTGACTTGATTAGGTTCTGGCAAATCTCATCTCCAAGCATTGAATTCCATTCGGATACGAAATTCACAATCAAATCCTCTTTGTTACTCAACTGCTTTCTCGATAGCCTGTACTTTATAATGCTCCATAAGTTTTCTATGGGGTTGAGGTCAGGAGATTGGGGCGGCCATGTCATAACACTCACCTGCTTCCCATCAAAGTATTCCTTCATCAATTTTGATTTGTGACAGGGAACATTATCCTGCATAAAAATGAGCTTGGTGGGGTCGATTTGAACCCTTTCAGCAGAAGGGAGCAGACAAGATTCTAAAATTCTCTTGTACTGCTCGCTCCTGAGGGTCTTTCAAGAAACCAGTTCCATGAAAAGAAAAGCATCCCCAGAACATTATACTGAACGGATGCTTGATAGTACTTACTACTAAATTCAAAGAGCTTTCAAAGCTTCTTCTTCGGATTTTAGATCGCTTATCCTTTGAATTTAGCTCAACTTTAGTTTCATCGGAGAAGAGAACATTTAGTAAAAAAATCAGGTGAGTCACTTTTATCGAACAGCACGAACAGCACTGTATATATATATATATATATATATATATATATATATATATATAAACGTATTATATTTTATACTATAAAGAGGTAATCATACAATGAATCAATTAGCAATATTAATGTAATTAATGTCGAATTCTCTTCGCTAACAGAATTAATATAAGCATTAACTTAGTAACAATCCACTGAGTGACGCGATCCTTATGTATAAAATTGTTGTCAGATGGATCTGGTGTATTTTTAGAGCAGCAAGTACTTGCGAAAACTTCATGTTCTCATCATCAAGCTGAAAAAAACACACACACACACACACACACACACACATATATACATATATATATATATATATATATATATATATATATGGTGCGAAGGATAAATTGTCGTCTAAATTACACAAAAATGAAAATAACACTGACATCTTATTTTAACGGATATATTTACCAAAATTACACAAAAATATCTTGAAATACTAAAGGGTAAATTTGGTCAATAAAATTGCCATAGGCTTCCTCCGCGGCCTCTTTGTGATCTCTTGAAACTCTTCTGGACTGTCTTCATGTTAAATTTGGTAAATGCGGCTATAATCCTTGTCTTCAGTTCATCTTTGGTGCTACAAGGTTTTATTGGTCTCTCGCTTAACTGCGCCCTACACATATAAATCAAGAGGCTTGCAGGGTGGGGAGTTAGGTGGCCAGATGTAAGGGGTGATGTGGTCGCAGAAATTGTCTGACAGCCATGACTGGGTTCTCCAGCTTGTGTGGCATGGTGCTCAGGTGGCATAGGCTCTTGCAGCAGTCACCCCGCTTGACTCAGGGCAGCATAACCTCCTCAAAGCACTTGATGTAGGCCTCTATGCTGAGTCTAAGATACCATGGGAAGATGAATAGAGGCATAATGTCGTCATCAACCGTGACCACTCTGAACACCTTCGTAATCACCATTAGACTCATCCAACTCTTTCCAAATCCTCAGATTGACATCCAAACACACTGAAAGGTTTGTATTGGAGCTTCCGACACGAAATCCAAGTAGTACACTATACTTTTTCTCACAGTCGCTGCCCAACTGACATATATATATATATATATATATATATATATATATATATATATATATATATATATATATATATATATGAGGGGTCTGCCTCCTAGCGAGTGGACGGAACGTTCACAAAAAGGTTTGTCTACAAAGCTCTGGAGTCGGAATGAGGAATATAACATCAATCAGCTAACACATTTTATATTTACATTAATTCTCTCTCTCTCTCTCTCTCTCTCTCTCTCTCTCTCTATATATATATATATATATATATATATATATATATATATATGTGTGTGTGTGTGTGTGTGTGTGTATAAGGGGTACGGCAGAAATACCTCCCATATTTTAAACTGTTACCTGTGTGATTCTATTGAACTTAATCAAGTGGCAATTATGTTAGCTAATCCCTTATCATTACGTAGAAGATATATGTGGGACGTATTTCCGCTGCACCCTGTACAATGATAATAACAACAAATATCTATTTCGCCTAACAAAACACGTCGACCAGCAAATTAATGAAGTTAAATGTATTTAGGGCGAGCAGACTTTTGCAAATAAAGTGCAAAAAAAAAAAAAAAAAAAAAAAAAAAAAGAAAATGGAACGACGATAGTTAATAGATAAATAAAAGTTCAAATGATTTATCTTTCGATTTCAAGTTTTGGGGATACATTGTCCCATTAGTTATGTGTATCTAGCGCAAAGGTGGTGTATGTATGCAAATTCAGATGTAGATAAAATATATCTGTGTAAAGACAATATGGATAAAAACAAAAGGAAAACTTTTCTTTACCAACATCAGAAGACGAAACGCGTTGGTAAAGAAAAGGTTTCCTTTTGTCTTTATTCATAGATATCCTATTATAATTGTGCTTGTCCCTACTTCGTTATTTCGCACGGCCGTTACGCCCTGCCAACACCGCATAAATAATGAACTATTCTTTTTTGATTACGTGAGGATACATCAAAGACGATACCTTGTTTCATAGGTGTTTTTAACAGCTGTTTCAGTTAAATGGAAAAAAGTTTTCAATTTCAAATCTTTTTTCTTCTTAAAAGTCAGCATTCATATTCATGATTGTTATTGGAATATTTTGTTAAAGTTGTTAAGCTCAAATATTTAACGATGTGATAGGGGAATTTCTACGAATATCTTTGTCGTAGTACTCGCCATGAGCTTATTCAATCATTAACTGAAAAATTAAGATTATTCAGAAATTTCAAATGGGAACAGGGCCGATGCTAGAGCCTCGTGCTTCCCAATCTATGTTACGACCCCCCCGCAACTCTACTACATCTGAAATTTCCCAAGGTAGTATTCATATAAAATACAAATTTTATTGCAACTTAATTATGTACAATAAAGGATCATATGCAATATAGGTGAACAATTAGAAAAATTGAAAATAAATACAATATATCTAAATATAAATTAGAGACATGTTATAATAGATTATTCCATGTGAAAAAAAAAAACAATAATGTTTTGTGGCAGTTTTTAAAATCGACTTGAGATTTTTCTTGTTAAAAAATTGAATAATTTTAATATATTCAATACTATGGATAAAAAAAATAGTGAAATTTATATAGTGTTTTTCCATGAGCAAAACAAATTCACTGATTTGGACGAAAAAGGACCGCGAAGATTTCTCATTCTTTGATAGTCCGTTGCACTTAGTTTAATTTGTAACGTATATAAATTTAGGCAGAAAAAAAAAACAAATGATAATAAGATAACAAGGATTAAAAATTACTACCCGAGGCCCCCATTCTGGCTTGCATTCCGTTCGATGGGGTTGGGGTATCACGCACCGGCCCTGCTTTGTAGCATTTAATAAAATTTGGAGAATGACATAGTAAAAAGTACTTACCGCTTCGTAGAAGTACTCCGTCTCTTTTCTTTGTATATTATGAATATTAAAAGTATTTCGACCGTTGCCGTTTGTGTCAAAAACCTGAAAAGGGTCATCGTATCCATTTAGTTTAATGTTCTTCACTATTGACACAAACTTGTCGACATGAGTAGAATATCGATCGCAAGGGATTTCTTTCATATACATGCATTCCGTTCTTTGAAATTCCTTGATGCCTTCGTACACTGCATAAACAGCGTTCATTGTCTGTATCGAGCGCTGGTCCCGCGACAGCTTTTTTGCATCCTCCTCGGAGAAGCGTTCCTGCCCAGTGCACACTCTGTCGTATACGTTCCGGAAACCGTTTGGTGGATTGCACTTGTGAAAGTTGTACCAGAACATGTTAAAGAAACGGTTGTGCACGGTGGCCGAGTTCAGAGTTCGTTTTTCCAGATACTGTCCGAAGCGTCCCGCATCGGCGGTTTTAGAGCCATCTAGCGTCAGTGTCAACGACCCGGCCACAGCTTGCAGATCGGCAATCTGGGTGGTACCCCACGTTTCACTCCCGATGAAAACAAAGACGTTCTCCATGTTTTTTCTTTTCAGTGCCTGGATGAGATCTGTGACTCGAGAATTCGTTCCAAAGTACACAACTATTTTCACCTGGTCCTTCATCAGTTCATCAAGGACGTTCTCCATTTCGGAAGACCTGGCTTTTTCGGAACTTTCCTCGATAGATTTTGGTGAGGGCACACATATTCGATTCTTTTGCGCGGACGAAAGGAAAAGCTCTTTAGCTTTTGCGCCATAATTGTTATTGGAGTAGATCATTCCCACGTATCTCCACTTCAGTTTTTCGAGCAGAGCTACGATAGCATTTACTTGCTGAACATCGCTGGGCACTGTACGCAGAAAATAAGGGTAAGAAATCCTATCATCCAAGTCGTAGGAAGAGGCAGCGTAGGAAATCATTATCGTTTTCTCATGAGTCAGTATATCAGCCACAGATTTAGTGACACCGCTTGACAACGGCCCAATAACAGCGACAATCTTTTTCGTATCAATTATGTCACCAGTTTTAAGGTCAAATAACTTCTTTTTACCAGAGAGAATCATGGTGATGTTCATGGTGGTTTGAATTGAGTTGTAGCAATCATCGATGACGATACCTCCCACTGTGATGTTAGGATTAATCTTTTGTAAATTTTTAATGGTGTAAAGGAAAGCCTCACTAGCGATGGCATCAGTGGACTCCTTCCTGAAGAAGAAGAAAAGAAGAATAAGATGCAAGATGATCACTAAGGAAATTTGTGCTAACAAAATGAAAAGAAAGAAAAACAGAAACATTTTAGAAATCATATTAAAAGCTGTTTGACAAGGACTAGTTGCTTTTAGAATTGTACATTACAAAACTTGGTTATCTGCCCTTGACTTCGTTGTCATTCATATGCATGTTCACGAGTAAAAAATTACTCTGGCAAGAGGCGCGAACGGTAAGTCAACTGGCCAATTGGAGCCATTTTTTAAATTGTTTCATCACAAGCAAGGCGATGATGCCACTAGATCTCAGGAGGTTGCAGGGAGTGAAAGTGAAAGAGAATGAGGAGACTTACAATGGGTAGAATTAAGGAAAGGACAAAAAAGGAACAGAGTTCAAGAAGACAGAAGGTGACGTTTGACATTGCATCCTCAGAACGACAGCCTTCTATTTTATCACACCTTTCATATCAAAAGCTAAAAACCTAATGCAATGACGACCACGTCAGCTTACCAAGTAATACATTAATTCATTTTGCTTTTTGATATCTGCTAATGTATGTCTGTAAATATGTATATAAAGTATTTTCCCTAAACGATTTGTACATTTACACAGCTAAATTATTCCTTCTAATCTACAAATCAACTATTCACCCTTGCATGGAGTATTGCTGCCATATATGGTCTGGTGCCCCTTGTGTTTGTCTCAAGGTTCTTGATAAGATCCAGAGACGTAATTGACCCTGATCTAGCATATCGTCTGCAGTCGCTTCTCACAGACGCGCCGTCGCCTCCCTCTGTCTTTTTTACAAATACTTTCATGGTAACTGTTCCGAGGAGCTGCATTCGCTGGTTCCCAAACTTCATGAATTTAAGCGTTCTACTAGGCTGACATCTCGCTCACAACCTTTCACTGTCGAAACTGTTAAATGTAGCCGTCTCTTCTACTCCAATAGCGTCATGTCTCGCACCTCTCGCCTGTGGAACTCCCTTCCCTCTTCCTGTTTCCCTTATAGCTATAGTCTCCAACTATTCAAATGTAATGTCAATCGACGTCTCCAGATGCCCTGATCTATCCCCTTACCGTCTCTTCACCCTTTCCTCTATCATTCCTATTTGCTCTAGCTCCAACTCTCTGTAATCCCTTGCGTGCTAGTGGCTTCCCGCCTTGTTTGGAGTGAAACGCTTAAAAAAAAGTTAATTTGCAAAATGCAGTGGTTTGGGTAGATACAGTTGTTATACTGCTGAAGTTAAGTAGCCGTCAATCGTTTATCGTACTTACGAATACAGCCAAGCCTCGGTAACTACGAGGTATTTGTACCAGGTTCCCCTAATGAATACCAAAATTCGCGTATACTGAAATGTATCTATCGATATATAAAATTCTGTGACTTCCGTTAGTCCGTCCCCCCCCCTAAAATAAACAGACATTGACAGATCAAAACCAAATTTTGGAGAGAAGTGCGAACAGGTAAGGAGGTACAAAGTATAGTTGGTCTTACTAAAAACCGTAAAATATTTTTCTTAACAAATCAGCTTGTTCAAATTTCATCGATTGGTCTGTTTATTTTGAACGAAACCTAGAGTTTGTAAATTTCGACAAAAAAATGAAAGCGATAACTTCAACAATACTAAATACTGCAAGGATTTCAACACGAGTTAGCGGGTTGCAAAAAAATTCTAGTTATATAAAATTACTGATGACCTACGCGCATGCATGTGTCTGTTTTCATTCATGAATAAAGTGTTACCATATCGTGGTATAGTAGGTTGTCAGAAATTTAAGTCCTGTATCTATCTTTCTATCTCTCTTACTTTCCTCCCTCCTCTCCCCCCCTGTGTGCAGTATAAGAACTGCTGCTGCTGTGTCACGTGGCGAAATCGTGTCTAACGATTGGTCGTACGTGATTTTCCCGCTTGTTTTCGACTAGATTAGAGGAATCTAGTCAGTAGAAGCGGAAAAGGGCGCCGCAGTGTGGAGACGATAAGTAAAAATTAAGTGATTGAAAAGCTACCTTCCTTCGAGGAGTTATTTTGTCCTATTGGTGGACGAAATTCTGACGTAGAAAAAAAAGTATGTGAAAAAAAAAAAAAAAAGATCTTCTAAGTCGTCTCTAGAAGTTAAATTTGTGTCGCAGAGAAAGTTTGAAACAGAAAGCTTGCTTATCTTCCAAGGAGAGCAACTCAAAACCTATCTAAAAACCTTTCTGCCCAGCTACTTAAAAAAAAATAGTAAAGCTATTTTTTTTTTTAACAGTAAGTCGAATTTTCCCCTCTTTCTGCTATCTCTCTACCTCTTTCACTCTCTCTGAACTGTTATTGGAGTCCTTTTAAGGGCTCGCCAAAGGGACATTTTTGGCAGTTATTTTCAAGTTGTACCAGTGAACTTTAACATCAGACTATTTTTCCCCCTCATTTTTTTTCTTTTCCCTCAATAAATTTTATAGCTATTTCAAGTAGTTTTTCCTTCTTCTTTATCTCGCTTGTTATGGTTGTATATTCATGGTTTCAGGTCTCTGTTAACGGTGTTACGCGGGATTCCCGTCATTGGACGTAATGACAAAGTTTTCCAACCTTTTTTGCGCCGAGTTTGGCTGTTACTAAGCTAAATTTCGACAAAGTATTTACTCTTGTCTTCCCACTGAAATGGGATGTAACACAAGGTTAAGTTTAACGTGGGAACCCCAGTGTATATATTCGGTTCAAGGACAAAAATTGTCCAGCCCGCGAAACTGTCGGTTGCACTGGCCTTGGTAGGAACTACCTATCCCTCTCTCTATTGCAATGCTGAGTGTAGCCACGAGCAGCTGTGAACCGGAACTGGGTACACCACAGTATTCATTTTCCTCAGCTGCGTCTCTGTCCGCGTTTAGACCCACAACTGAGTCGCACTCTGCCCAAAGACAGAGACACAACCGTGATATCCTTACCTGGCATAACACATCTAAATAGAAATACCAGGAAATAAAAGCTGAAATTGTGAACTCTTGTCCTTTAATCTTAAACCAAAATGTCTTCAGTGAACAAAAAACAAAAAATAAAAAACAAATTGGCTTTGCCGTTCCAATACTTTTGGAGGGGACTATATATATATATATATATATATATATTCGACCCTCCCATATGAGGGTCAAGCGGATCAGTTCCTGGGAACCGACAGCCCAGACACCGGCACATATGATTTTATTATAGTTGTGGAGGTTTTTGTGCAGAACCATCCACACTTTTTGAAGGGTCGATTTCAGAGACCTGGTGCATCACGTGCCACAAGGCTCCCAAACGACACTCACGCAGGTTTTGAATTCAGAGTTGTCCTTCTCCTAGACCAGTTGCCATCCAAGGCTATAGAACTCAGTCTGTCATAGCTGGAGGAAGAAGAAAAGGATTCATACCTTTCCGAAGGGTATTAGAATAAAAAAGGAAAAAGGAAAAGAAAAAGAAATAGTCAAGAGAAAGCGTAGAAAAATTATCCCTACTACCAAGAGAAAAGACAAAATAGAAAGGCAAGAGAAAATAGAGTAGATTCAAAATTACCCAGATTCATAAGTAATTTTTTTTTCTTTTTTCTTTCCTTTTTTTTTATTGATTTCTTATCTTTCTCTTTTTTTATACATAAAACCGTTTTACCTTTTATGGAAAATTTTCCAAAAACGGAAAGTGAAGTAGTGTTTCATTAATCGCAATTTTGAATAAAATCGCTTAGTACCATCATTGTTAGCCACCTGAAGAAACAAAATTTACAAATTTGTAGTGGATATTTACATGTTCTATTGCAACAGTGTATAATATATATATATATATATATATATATATGTGTGTGTGGGGGGGTAAAAGTATACACTAATGTCAACGCCTCAGTAGTCGATCAACATGAAACACTACGCTCGATGTTGACTTCACTGTCCACTTTCATATTTACATGCGCTTTATCCCTAATAATGAGCAATTTAATCCATAAATATAGCATACCTTGAAACTATATTCTTATTATAAAAGGTAAATAATAAATATCACATTGTAATTAGTTCACATATCTTGTAAATAAATATTGCCGAAGGAATCATAAGTGTAAACAGTATTACGGTGTCAAGAGAATAACCGTTCTTTTGAAACACGGTTTTTTTTTTGTGGGGTGTGTGTGTTTTTTCAGGCACAAAGGTTAAACAAGGCTATATTGTGTCTTTTTTTAGGGAAAGGTTCATGTCCCCATCATCTGTGTCTGACGTCATAAACCAAAATGAATTAAAATAAAAGGCATTCATGTCGGAGTGACCCTCATAAAATGGAGAGATAGGCAGCGGCGTCGATAGACATTAGACAGTGACACGAGGGAATGAACGGGGAAATGATCGAAAAAAAAAAACCCCAAAAGAACAAAAGACGAAGAGTAAGCGGAATACTTACCTGAATTCTCCACATTCAAATCCAGGGCCTGAGTCGTGTATGGAAAAGATTCCTAATAAGAGAATATCCCCGGGAATATAAGCAATTCTTCCCCTAAATTCCGGCTGTTCGCATTCCTTACAGAGTTGAGAACACAAGGATTTCGGGAGGTTATTTCCTGTGACGACACTATGTTTTTCATCTGTCATTTTTATTTCGTTTACTGAAAACTTTAATTGGTAATCCTGACTGAACGTTCCAACCTGAAACATAAACAAAACAATTTGATTATCGTACCTGCTGTAGAGATGAAGTAAAGTGGAAAAGCTATAAACAACGCGTTTCACCGACGTCTGTTGGTTCCGGCTTCTTCAGGTCAGAATGAAAAACAAAAATGTAAGTAAAATGCATTGGGATTTTCAGAATAGGAAGTGGCCATAAATTAAATTACTGTATTTGATAGCATATAAGACGCGCATGTGTATAAGACGCACCCCAATTTCAGCAGGGAACATCAAGAAAAAATTAGTAATTAGTAAAATTAGTAAATTATTAGTAAATGGTACAGGCTAGGCTATATTTATGAAGTATTACTTTGGTTAAACAAAATGATTAAAATTAAATGAAAAATATTAGGAAAAAAGTACACGAGCCTATAAAAACATTATTATATACAAAAGTAAGAAAACAATAAAACTCAAGCAGTTATTACAATTGAGCAAAACAGTACAGTTACCATTAAAAATTTTTATTCATCTTCAAATCCATAAAATTCGTCGTCTTCGTTATCAAAACTCTGATATTCATTTTCAATACTACTATCATTGTCGTTAAATAATGCGTTATCTTCCGTTTCAGTGAGAGCATTGCTAATGTCACACTTTTTAAAAGATTCCACAACAATTTCTGGTCTAATATTATCCCAAGCTTGCTTCACCCATTCGCAGACTTATGCAATGCTGGATCTTTTTATTCTTCTTGTAAGTGTAAGGTCATGGCTAGGCATTGCCATCCACATGCTCCATTGCGCCTTCATATTTAAGTCTAAGCTAATAGGAGTTGCTAGGTAGTTAATTTCGGCCGTCTGTCGCGAATTTTAAACCTACATATGGCATATAAGAAGTAGGAGAATCGTAAAAGATATTTTTATTAAAAAAAAAGGTGCGCCTTACATGTCGTCAAGTACGTTACCTTCTAAGACCCGACGACCAGAAAGTGATCTGAAGAAGCTGAAAGCAGTAGATGTCAGTGAAACGCGTCGTTTATAAATTTCCTCTATGTCCCCTCTGATATTACTATCCATCTTAGAAACACGATATCTTTTGTTTAGATTTTTAATAAATCTGCAATGTGTGGTTATTTTTATATTCTACATAAATGTATTTATTTTTCTCTCTCCCTAAATATAAAAAAGAAAGAATGGTAGATGGCGCACCACGGATGATACCAAAATAGACTTTGCATTCAGTGCCCTTCACACAAGCCAGGTTCATCAATTGGTTGACTTAAAAAATGACTTCCGAGCTACCATGTGTCATTGGCTGTCTCCGCCATGTAAACACATGGTCGACCCAGCTGCACCTCGGATGCGTACGCGGGAAAGAAACCGAATGGACACACACCTGAGTGGGAAAGGAAAAAAGTCTCTTATATCCTGGCGAGAATGTAAACGCCACGTTCTGAAAAGTCCCTGGGTCCACACTCCCATTATCCGACAGTGACTGATGAGGTCAGAAGTTGAATCTTCTAAATTTTTGTGTGTGAGGGATGATGTTGTCATGAAAATATACAGCGATAACGCGATACAGAATACTTGCATTTGCCACAAACTGCCAGTGTTCAGGATTAAGCAAAGATTTGAATTTGCACTGCATTTAAATCAATGCTTCCCAACCTTTTTTCTAACCAATGCCAAAAATAAATCAAGGGAAAATAAAATAAAAATGTGATTCAATAATTAACCAATGACAATATAATTCAATAACTGACCAATCACAGTTTGATTGAATCAAAAGTAATTTTCGTTTTCGGGAATCACAAAACAATCACAATGTAATTTAACAATTAACCGATCACAGAACAATCACAATGTAATTTCATAATTGACCAATCAATCACAGAGTAATCCCAATGTAATTTAATGATTAACCAATCATAGACCAATCATCAAGTAATTTAATAATTGACCAATCACAGACCAATCACAATGTAATTTAATAATTGATATAATCACAGAGCAATCACAATGTAATTTAATAACTGACCAAACATAGAACAATCACAATATAAGAGTGTGAGCTGAAAAGTTCACAGACTGTTTATGAAAAAGTGTTGCTAGAATCTGTGAAAATAATTCATTAATTTCATTTCTTCTTCTTAATATCTGCATTTTTTCTTTTAAGGTAATCTGATATCTGACTTCTCAAAGAAGACTTCAAAAGTATCTAGTAGCGACTTCTCTTAAAAATGGACAAAATTTGGCATTGTGATGTTATCAGAGAAATGGTTCATCCCCCGAGGACATTCATGCTGACATGGTTGTTACATTAGGAGACCAACAGTGGAAAAGTGGGCAGCTGAATTTATGAGGGAAGGGAGAGTCCTGAAGATGACCCAAGGTCTGAACAAATGGAGATGGATGTCATGTACGGGCTATAATTCAAATAGCCAATGCTATTAACGTACCCCTTGAGAGAGTTGAGAATATTTTACACAATGAACTTGGCATGACGAAGGATTCTGCCTAATTCGTGCCACATCTGATACCTGATCACTAAATCATTATTATCTAAAAAAAATTCTTACAATCTACAAAAACATATTTTCTGGCTTTAAATAACTCTCAAAGGGTTGATAAGTCGAAAAAGATGAATAAATCAATCAGATTACTCAAAGTCTTTATGAAATTAAATATTTTATACTTACTTTCTTAAAATGTCCATTCCAGAAATTAAGTATGTTAAAGATAGTTTTTGAGGACTTTTCGCTTTTTACCGTGTTGTTAAAAATAGTTATAATGCGATTCTGTTCATGAAATTCCCGTGGAGAAAAATTTGCCATGTCGCTGTAATTAACGACTGTTTTCTCATTGATAAAATATGGCTGATTCGATTTTGCACAGCTGGCTGGGATTTTACTACACAGCTCTCTTTTGGCAGTCGCCAAGACATAAACTGCGTCCATTACGCTAGATACATCATCCCTAAACGTGTCTACGGTTGGAATATTTGTCAGCTTCTGATTGGTTCGGTGTAAAAGGTTATTTATCCAGTGGTCAATTGGCTGGCTTACGTTTTGACGACTCGTTAGGTTTCTAATTTTTTCAGTGTACAAAATTTCAAATTCACTAACATTAACATTAACTGGATAGAGAGTTAAAGTTCCTTTTAGTACATTCGGTATTGCTTGGAATGTTTTGAAATGTCCACCGAAAGAATCAAAAATAATCCAATGGATTTTCGGATTGTTTTTTGTAAATATAATCTCCATGTCTGATCCTTGGCCAAGGTAGACGATGCCGAATTGTTTCTCTTTAACCTTCTTGATGGCAGAGGAAATTTTGGAATCGACCCGGTTAATACTAGACGTGTTTTCGTTGAAAGCGAAGCAAATGCCATGAGTTGCAGCATTCGACATAAGGCGATCTTTCATTTGTTGTCCGAATTCCGTATCGGAGTAAATAATACCGCTGTAGGTCCATTTTAACTTCTGTAGAAGTTTAAGTATAGCCTGGAAAATTTAAGACGGAATATGTTGGAATTAGTAAAGATTTGAATACAATATTGCTTTGAATTTAAATGAAGGACTCCCAACCTTTTTCTAGCTACTGTCAAAAATCAATCAAGTAGAATTAAAATAGAAATGTGATTCAATAAATGACCAATGACAATGTAATTCAATAATTGACCAATCACAGCTAGATTGGGTCAAAAGTAATTTTCGTTTTCAGGAATCTCAGACGAATCTCAATATAATTTCATAATTAAACAATTACAGACCAATCACAATGTAATTTAATAATTGACCAATCACAGATCAATCACAATGTAATTTAATAATTAATCAATCATAGACCAATTACAATTTAATTTAATAATTGACCAATCACAGATCAGTTATCATGTAAGTTAATAATTGACCAATCACAGACCAATTACAATTTAATTTAATAATTACAAATTGTCGATGATACATTATAGCGAAGGAAGTTGAAAAATACTTGAAAAATACAACACCAGAGAAATACAACCAATGGGAGGAGTACAAATTTTTGACACTTTTTTGATCTCTCATTTTACTCTTTTATTTATTAATTTTGAATAGAAATCAGGTTTCGCTTGCCTCCTACTTAAACACCTTCACTGACGACGAGCACAACGTATAACAGAACAATAGACAAAGACAGCGGCGTTGGAAAAGTCTATATTTAATCCAACAGAAAGACAAGCTTCACCTTCTGAAGTTGACCAGCGACATTTTTCATACAAAAATTCATCTGCCAGATTTAAATAAAATGTCAATGATTATCTTAATATTCGTTTTTTTTTTTGCCTCCTGTCCTTAATAGTAATTTCCTATATTCTTTAACGCTCAATAACCCCTTGCGCCATCGTGGCTTTATTGTCTTACTCGGGATGAAATTGTTGTAACCTAGGGGAGGTTACTGAATAGAATAATCACACGAAGGTTGGTAATGAACGATAATACTTAGGACAAGAACAACACATATAAGATTTGCCAGCGGCGCGGAAAAGAAGTAATCAACTGCGAGAAGTGAGTCAAGTGAATTCCGCAATGAATCTCCAAATCTAGGATATCTACCAACCACACCACGCAGTCAGATGTGGCGCAAGGCCGAATTTAAGGTTAGGTATCCTAGCCCGTAGGCTCGGCCAAAAATTCCCTGTAGACCCCGTATAAAACGGAGTCGGGTAGCTGTTTCCCGAGACGAGACTCTGCCCTTCGACATAGCCTCGTCTGTGGATTCTATCTGCCCGGAGCCAGAGAGTTTGACCAGCACAACTGGAGACGAATATCCAACTCTAGACCAACATACAGTATTCACTACTGTATTTATGGGAATGGGGGCATACTCATTATCGTCCGTAGGTATGCTACAGCAGAAATGATTAAAAGAAAACAGGCTTGGTGTTGTCGAGAGCTCCATAAGTTAGCTCCCCTGAAACGTTACTCAAGCCGATCCACAACGTTCTTCACTTCACAAGTAAAAAAAAAAGTTTAGCTTCCATATGAACACAGCAATTTTGTTTTTGAAAATGATGAACATTACAATGTTTGTCTTAAAATAAACAACACCCTGATGATGACATCGTGCTAATGTCGAGTAGTCGGAATAAAATAATATGCATCAACACGGTAATTTTCTCTCCACCTTTAATAATGACACCAAAAAGCTTGTCCGTGAATAAATGCAATTGAAAATAAGTAGGCAAAACTTGTCTAAAATATTCAATGAAACATGTCTCAATATATATATATATATATATATATATATATATATATATATATATATATATATTTTATACCGACGATTGTGTTTGAAAATGTGTCGGTCGAAAGGCGCCTTACATTTTATGTTTTAAACGCGGATACTGTTGTATCTTATGTTTAATATGAACCCATATTTTTTATTCCTCAAATGTCTGATTAGATTTGGCAGTGAGAAATCTGTTTATATATATATATATATATATATATTGAGGTGTGTTTAAAAAACAGAAAAAAGATAAAAATTCCAGTTTGACTGCTTAAATGACGTCACCTTGAGTTACTTGAAGTTGCTTCCGGCAAACGTGAGAACGCCGGGATTAACCAAAAGACAGTCACATAAACATACACAAAACAAAATTCTTGAAAACAAATGTAGCAATATTCGAAAGTACTCGAGAAAAAATTTCAAATAAATACGAAATTTAACTGTAACATAAAACAACTAATTTGGAAATTTAATAATTTGAAAAATAAAAAAAAAGATATTTATAAGTCTACTATTCGTCTTTGCTTTGAATATTATTGCCACTTATGATGTTGTGATCTTGCTATATATTTAGAGATTCTTCATGAAATACGAAGAAGAATCTGAAACGTTATTGGCCCTGACCTTGCATCTCGGATTCAGTCACTTGGGCAGGGAGGAACCAGGACGAGGCTGTGCTGAAGGGCAGAGTCTCTCCCGGGGAGGTAGACAGATCCGAACCCGTTTATGCGGGTTCCACGGCTATTTTTTGGCCGAGCCTTGTGCCACATATATCTCACGTGGGGGTGGAGCTGTTAAATATTAACAGTGATCGAAACTGTTCTATTAAGGCTGTTCGCAGCTCCTGTCGAACACTCTGTCTTGGGCAGGGAGGAACCAGGACGAGGCTGTGCTGAAGGGCAGAGTCTCAGGGGGAGTGACAGATCCGAACCCGTTTATGCAGGTTCCACGGCTATTTTTGCCGAGCCTTGTGCCCTTGTATATCTCACGTGGGGGTGGAGCTGTTAAATATTAACAGTGATCGAAACTGTTCTATTAAGGCTGTTCGCAGCTCCTGTCGAACACTCTGTCTTGGGCAGGGAGGAACCCGGACGAGGCTGTGCCGAAGGGCAGAGTCTCGTCCGGGGAGGTAGACAGACCCGAACCCGTTTATGCGGGTACTACTGGGATTTTTTGGACGAGCCTACGGGCTCGGATGACCCACGTTAAACTCGGCCTCGTGGAGGGGCTACTAAATATCAACAGTGATATAGACTGAACGCTGGCCAACCGACACACACTCCCGAGTCGTGTAACACACTTCTGTTGTATTTACTGTTCAATACACTATTTATCTGCAACCTCTTGTCTTGTTATTTCTTAACCAATTACTTGATCACAACACATAATATGAATGAAATTGAAATGGACATCTGTGTCGTGGCATTTAATTTCCCCTTCTACCTGGCAACTACCCCTGGGCAACAGGAAAATAGTATGAGCCGGCTCTTTAAATTAATTTTTATGATTGAATATATCTTTTGTTAAATGTAGAATTTTAAATAGTTCAAACACTTTAGATTTGAAATTTGGTCATCTTCTTGTAAGCGAAGCGAGGGTTGCTGGCTAATTAACATCAAATAAAAGCAATAAGCATAATTACCTGAGCTTGAAAATCGATCAGAGCTGACAAGCTGATAAAGTTTCGGTACTTCTTGAAGGAATCTAAATTGACTTTAGGATTAACAACCGGAATGGAAACCGTCTTTGCAACTTCCAGTATGGTGTCAGTCACAGAAGCATTGCCAAGAGTCAAGACAGCTGGAGGGAATGATAGAGAGAAAGTAAAAAAAAGAAGAAAAATAAATTAATTCGATAGATATTAATAATATCTATTTTTAGAAATAGACCTCTCTTTTCCTTATTTGCTTTCCACCTTTTATACATCATTACCGATCGGTTCCTCAACTATCACGATGAACGTATGTTCCCCCAGGAAGGTCCCGTGCCTTGAGCGCCTGTTGGGAATTAAACTCTGCCTAGGCCTCAAGTGAAAATCGTACATTGAAAAATGGTGGGTTCCCTGTACCGCTCCAGTAAGTACCTGACTCCTCCTGCTATCTTCTACCTTTACAAGAACCACAAAAAGCCAAAAATGGTGTACTGTTGCCATATATGGGCAGGAGCTATTCAGTAATCACTTTCCAATTTCGATAGAATCCAAAAGCGTTTCCGCATCCTTGTGGGTGACAAATTATTTTCCACCCTACAACCCCTTTCTCATAGACGAAAAGTCAGAAGCCTCTCACTGCTCTAACGTTATTTACATGGAAAGTGCTCAAACTCCAATTCATAGTTTCACCAGATCTAATATTCACGGCTCGGACTCCCCATGTCACGCACCTTGTATCAAACCACACCCATTCCCTCCATATTCATTTAGTGTAAGCTTCACTTGAGCACCTTCTTCCCACGACCTGCTGCTTTGTGGAACCGACTCCCTAGAGGTTGCTTTTCAGCTCACTACAAACTTAACCCATCCAAGTCTAAGGTTAACCACTAACATTGCCTCTTACTTTGTAACCCCGATTCCTCGTGTGGCCCCTGTGCCTTTTACGAGGTAAACCTAATTGTAATACATATATATATATATATATATATATATATATATATATATATATATATATATATGAGTTAATCGACAATTTTTCAACTAAAATGTATTTGAAGTTAAGGGAAAATTTATCAAATATTTTTGATAGGATCCATTTGGAGAGCCAAACACGACACCACTTTGTGCATAATTCACTGGAATCGACATCTTGTGTCTTCCTGAATCCTGTTCTTTTATTGTCCTTTCTCCTCATTAAAGTCTTCTCATACTATTACACTCTCACTATCCCCTTGCGTCATAGTAGCATTATCGTATTGCTTTGGCTGAATTAATAAAAAGAAAAGAATATCTACGCTTAAATGATTACGTACAAAAGTGGGATGAGGAGTTCATAGTCTGACTATGAAGGAGTGATGCTAGAGCTGTGAAATATCGCATGCATTAATTTCAATTCCTCTTATTAATACTTGCGTTGTTTATTTGCAGGTAAGGGGATAGGCTGAAAGGTTCAGGGGCTGACTATGAACGACTGAGCTGTGAAAGTATGTATGCATTAGTTTCAGCTCTTATTAGTTTCATTGTTTCTTTCCAGGCAAAATGACATCTGACTGTTCAAAAAAAAAAAAAAAAAAAGACTGTTCATCCTGATATTTTTTACTAACAGGATGAACAGTCAACAATAGATATGACATCATCATCACTGTGATAATATCGGTCTGGGTATGACGATAAACTTCATCCGCGTCCTCGATAAGGCGATAAACTACGTCCAATAGCAAGGCCTCTGATCAGGAGGTTTTGAGGAACGTGGAACCACCTCTTAATTGCTCATGTTCCCAGGTCCACCCTGACACGGGGTGGTAGCACCTGTTAGGGTCCCAGCTATGGGCAAATAGTGAACTCCCAGTCGAGCCTGTGTCCTGGGTATGACGATAAACTACATCCAACAGCAAGGCCTCTGGTCAGGAGGTTTTGAGGAGCGTGGAACCACCTCTTAATTGCTGGTGCTCCCAGGTCCACCGGGATCCGGTGTGGTAGCACCTGTTAAGGTCTCAGCTATGGACAAATACTTAACCTCCAAACTGGGGTCAAAACAAGGAAAGTGTAAAAATAGATTTTAATACCAGAAATACTTTTTGTAAAAAAAATTATTGCCAGTAAGACATTTTTGAAGAAAAAAAATATTACCAAAAATAGATTTATGAAGGAAAAAAATATTACCAGCAACAAAAAATTTGTCGGCATTAAAAAACCCATTGAGGTTGATATGCCGTAAAACAAACCAAACTATCGCTATGAATCTATTTCAAAATTTTGTCGACATTAAATGACCCATTGAGGTTGATATGCCATAGAACAAACCAAACCAAACTATCGCTATGAATCTATTTCAAAATTTGGTCGACATTAAATGACCCACTGAGGTTGATATGCCATAAAACAAACCAAACCAAACCTAACTATCGCTATGAATCTATTTCAAAATTTTGTCGGCATTAAATGACCCACTGAGGTTGATATGCCATAAAACAAACCAAACCAAACCAAACTATCGCTATGAATCTATTTCAAAATTTTATCGGCATTAAATGACCCATTGAGGTTGATATGCCATAAAACAAACCAAACCAAACCAAACTATCGCTATGAATCTATTTCAAAATTTTGGCATTAAATGACCCATTGAGGTTGATATGCCATAAAACAAACCAAACCAAACTATCGCTATGAATCTATTTCAAAATTTTGTCGACATTAAATGACCCATTGAGGTTGATATGCCATAGAACAAACCAAACCAAACTATCGCTATGAATCTATTTCAAAATTTTATCGGCATTAAATAACCCATTGAGGTTGATATGCCATAAAACAAACCAAACCAAACCAAACTATCGCTATGAATCTATTTCAAAATTTTGGCATTAAATGACCCATTGAGGTTGATATGCCATAGAACAAACCAAACCAAACTATCGCTATGAATCTATTTCAAAATTTTGGCATTAAATCCCATTGAGGTTGATATGCCAAGAACAAACCAAACCAAACTATTTGAATCTTTTTCAAAATTTTGTTGGCATTAAATGACCCACTGGGGTTGATATGCCATAAAACAAACCAAACCACTGCGATAATAGTTCCAATTCCAGTATTTTTTTTAATGTTGGGGAACAGATGATAGAAGAATAAGGAAGGTGATCGGCCAGTTTAAAGTCAGTCACACACACAGCGGCCATTGAAACCCAGTACTTATATACAGGAGAATTGTCCTGATGAAACAAGGCCGCTTTCGTCAGTTTGCCAGAACATTTGGTTTTGAAGCCAGCTGGATCTGTCTCAAACCACGTCAGATTTACCCGTGATATGTTCAGCCTGATGCACTTTTGATCAGATATCAGAAGACGTTGCACCACCGAGCAGAAATCTCATGTCAAGTTCATTGTGCAGAATATTATCAAACCTCTCACGGGATATACTAATAGTATTGGTTATTTGGTTTATAGTCAATCGCTTGTCATCCATCACCATATGGCGAACAGGATCATTGTTTTCCTCAGTGGTGGCAGTTGCAGGACGTCCAAACCTTGGATCATTTTTAAGACTATCCCTTCCTCTCCTAAATTCAGCTGCCCACTTTTGCACAGTTGACAAAGCTGGAGCGTCACTCCTTAATGTAGCAACACGAATTTCCTTAAGGGATAAACCCTTTTTCTTAAATCAACCATTCGTCCTTGCATGGAAAACTACTGCCATATATGGTCTGGTGCTCCCGCTGTTCATCTCGAGGTCTTCAACAAAATCCAGAGACGGATATGCAACGTGATTGGTCCTGATCTGGCATCTCGTCTATAGTCACTTTCTCACAGAGGTGCTGTGGCTTCCCTTTGTCTTTTCTACAAGTACTTTCAAGGCGACGAACTACTTTCACTTGTTCCCAAACTGCATGAATTTAAGCGTGCTACTAGGTTGGCATCTCGGTCCCACCCTTTCACTGTCGAAACGACTAAATGTAGCCATCTCTTCCACTCTAACAGTTTCTTATCTCGCACCTCCCGTCAGTGGAACAACTCTTCCTATCACTTGCTTCCCTGATAGCTATAATCTTCAAATATTCAAATGTAATGTCAATCGACATCATCTGATGCCTTGACCTTGATCCCTGTCCTTCTCTTTATCCTTTTCTTAAACACTCCAATTTACTCTTACTTTCACTTTCTGTAACCCCTTGCGTGCTGGTAGCACTCCCATCTTGCTTGGGGTGATTTGCTTAAAAAAAGGGTACTTGATAACACAACGATGCTAATTGTTACTTTTGAGGTCTTTTTTAGCCAGTCAGAATTCGTGGAAAGAAACAATGCAGTCCTTAATAAGAAGAGTTGAAACTGATGCATGAAAGATTTCACAGTTCTAGCGTCAGTCAATCATATGAACCTTTCAGCCCACCCTCGTATATTGCAATAGACTTTTTAAAATCATTTCACCCCAAGTAAGGCGGGAATGTCACTAGGACACGGGGTGGGTGGCACAGAAAGTGAAAGTGAGAAAAAAGAATTGGGATTGAGGAAAGGATAAAAGATGAACGGGGTTCAAAACGACAGAAGATGCTGATTGACGTTGCATTTAAATTTTTGAAGATTGTAGTTTTCAGGGAAGCTGAAAGCAATAGTTCTTGACAAAATTTCTGGAGAGGTTTCTATTGCAAGGGAATATCGGGGATCTTCATCTTCTTTCAAAGAATTTCCATACAGACAACCTACATCAGAAAATGCACAGACGTAATTGTAATAAACTTTAACAGGACAATGTTTGCAGATAAATAGGATCATTTTTCATGAGAAGTCCTTATTATTGCACGAGAGAATCAGAAAAATTATTTCTTTGTTTTATTGCTTCTTTGGTATTTTGGTTGATTCATTTTAGGCCGCCAGGCGATCGCTTCGGCGTGGTGTAGTGGTCAGCATGTTTGTCTCGCTGAATCTGTTATAACTGCGTAGTGAGTTCGCTCCTCACTCGGTGCATCACACTTTCGGCCTTGTAACGCATATACGCTTTTTATGACCTTCAGATATATTTCTTTTATGTGCCGTGTCCCTTCAGAACATGGCTCTCCACAACTTTCTATACTTTGCATCTCTTAGTAGTATTTATTTATTTTTTTACTATCCCTATCACTCTTTGTTTAATAATCCATTTACACAAGCCCATCAAGTAAGTTACTTGCTGTTTCCCTCATGTCTTCAATATTTCCTGTGAGTGTCAAATTCTCCAAGCCCTCATTCCTCATTATGTGTGCCAGAAATTTCAGGTGTCTCTTTTTGATTCTATGTTTAGGTGTGTTTTTGTCTTCATTTTCCTTGTTGCACACATACGCTATTCCGTGGTATTCTCATCATCCTTCTGTAGACGCATATCTTTGTTGCTTCAAGTCTTCTCTTCATCTGTAAGGAGATTGTCCAACATTTATTGTTATATAAGAGGATTGATATGAATTAGCAGTTGAGCACCCTTTTATTTGTTTCTATCGAACTTTTCGTATTTGTAAATTGCCCATTTCTTTCCTATTTATTTAAAATTTCTTAGTTGCCCACATGTTCTATCCAAGGTATTCTCAGCATCCTTCTGTAGAACCACATCTATAGGAGGAATCGTTGATCTTACTAAAAATAAATAAATAAGTAAATAAAATAAAAACTGGATGTTTTTAAACCTATGGTGATTTTTCTATATGTTTTGCTCTTCTAGTTAACCTACGCGAGAGGGTCGTGCATATGTGACCAATATAAGAATTTAATTTTTTTTTTTGATTAATGATATTAGAGATGTTATCTACCAAAAGACTTGAGAATTCAGAAACAACAGACATTTTTAAGGCCCCGAATTATCGGTAATCTTTCATTCCTTTTATTTGGTTAGCGCATTTTGCGCTGCCGCCGTGTTCACCACTCCCCTTCATCTCACAATTGTGGTACATGGTGACATTCATGGCAAAATAGCACAATAGCTTGCCGGATTCTTTTGTATCAGGGATGTTGACGTTGTCCCGTCCCTCCTCTCAGATGTGGATTTTTTTCTTTTTCTTTTACAGTTGCATGTGCTGCCCGTTTTTGTTTTTGCCCTTGCATGGAGTATTGCTGCCATATATGGTCTGGTGCCCCTTCTGTCTGCCTCGGGGTTCTTGATAGGCTCCAGAGGCGGATATGCAATAAATTGGCCCTGCCCTGGCGTCTCGTCTACAGTCACTTTCTCTGACGCGCCGTCGCCTCCCTCTGTCTGTTCTACAAATACTTCCATGGAAATTGTTCCGAGGAGCTGCATTCGCTGGTTCCCAGACGTCACGAGTTCCAGCACCTCACGAGGCTGGCATCCCGCTCTCACCCCTTCACTGTCGAAAATCCTAAATATAGCTGTCTCTTCTACTCTAATAGCTTCATGTCTCGCACCTCTCGCCTGTGGAACTTCCTTCCGTATTCTAGTTTCCCTGAGAGCTATAATCTCCAGCTATTCAAGTGTAATGTCAATCGACATCTCCAGTTCCCTTGATCTATCCACTACCCTCATCCTTTCTTCTATCACTCCTATCTGATTTTGCTCTAAATTTTCTGTAACCCCTTGCGTCTTAGTGGCTTCCCGCCTTGCTTGGGGTGAAATGCTTAAAAAACAAAAAAAAAAAAAAAAAAAAAAAAAAACTCTTTGGTATCTTCAAGTAATGTCGTTTTGGCTGAAAATTATAAAAACAGTATTTTAAAAAGCATCCAAACACGTCTTTTATTCTTACCATCCAGTCTATATAAAACTCAAGTGTATTCTTCAAAATCTTACCAAAGAAATGTGGATAGGTTCTTTTAGGAATGTCCGGGCATTCGTTGAAGTGGGTGGTCAGCGATGGCTCTAAAATGTCCGTGATATGTTTAAATACAATATCTGGCTGGCCACAGTCATCAAATACATGAAAATCTGTGTGAAAAAGATAAAGCAAGAAATTAAACGAAAAAGGAAAAAGCTACGATTTTACAAGCATCGCCAATATTTAGATAATTTTATAGCAGAGAAAGAAGGATGCCTACATTAAAGAGGGCAATAATTTCTCAAGAATCGATATACTTGTATGGCTCTTGGCAATTCTTTCACAAGATGCTATACTGCATATACAAAACAGAAAGCTCCAGACAAACGTTTTCCCAATTGCCCTGAGACCAACCCGAAAAACAACTTTAATCTTCCTGAAAAGAAATTTAAATTCTATAAAAATTATTTTTCATGAGAAGGATAATATTAAAATGTGCATGAGAAAATATAATTAAATGCTGGAACTGCGTAAAAATTAATACAGAAAGTATTTTTTGTAAAAAAGATAATATTAAATTTTATTAAAATTAATTAAGAAAATTAGAAATTGACAAACACGGTTTGCTTGAAAAATAAACCGCTTAAATGAAGTCAAACGGTATATATATATCTATATATATCTATATATATTTATATATATGTACATATCTATATATATTTATATATATATATATAAAGGTTAATGGTCAGAGTTGAATCAGACCAGGGAACAGTAGTATTAAAAAGTGCTCAATATACTTGAGAAAAAATATAAGTAAAAATAAAAATAATATGTAGAGGTTTGAACTTAAAAAATTATGAATTCAATTAAAATACGCGACCACGGTTTCTACCTGACGGTCTCTTCGGGCGATACTTATAAAAAAAAGTACTATTCGTACCTGATGAGTTGGTAGAACAACAAAATTTGAGTCACACTTTGAACGTAGTTATATATACATTTATTAATATATATATATATATATATATATATATATATATATATATATATATAGATAGATAGATAAAAAAATTTAAAATTTTTATCTCATCATTAGGCAATATTCAGTAACTTTTTGATGAAAATGATTTACATTTACAGTTGTTTTCTATTTTCAAATGTAAATCATTTTCATCAAAAATTACCGAACATTGTCTGATGAAGAGATAAAAGGTCTCGAAACATAGAAATTTCCGTGTTCGTAATGTAAAATATTTTTAATAAAAATATCATTAAAATATTATACTCTACGTTTGTATTGAGCATTTTTTTAAAAAATGAAATGCAAGAGAACTGTGGATTCTAAATCTGTTCTTTCTCTTCATTATATATATATATATATATATATATATATATATATATATTTGGAAGCACCGATTGTACAACCATCGCCAGTCCTTCAAAAATAAGAGTAAAAAAAACCAAACGGTACTATCAAAACATTATTGGGATTTGTTGGAGGTGGCTAACCCCACAAATAAAGTGGAAAATAATATCAAGAGCCAGAACTCAAAAAACTTCAGAGACAGATGCGACTAATGCTTAAAGGAAAATCTTCATAATCAAACATAAAGATCCAGACATACTACTAAATAGACACAATGAACTAGTCTTTAAATGCCGGCACAAAAACAACCTAAACCTAAGCAAATACATTGAGAAATAATCATATAGGAACAGCAATTTTGAATGTTTTGTATTCCGTTTGTTTTTAGAAATATTACTATGCACACATGAACGCTAACACATGGCTATATGTATACAACTATGGTAATGTATTTCAACATTGAGACACCTGTTGATATGTAGATGTATATGTTTTAATATGGAAAAAGAAGCATACCAGGTTTTTTTTTGTTTTTTTTTTTAGTGTGGAGGTTTACAATTAGATAGGTACCTATATGTTTTGCCACAAATATGAAAGAGCGGGTAATATTATATGTGTAAAGATATGGATAATGTAATTAAATACTGAGATAGTCATCGAACGCAAGCAAAAGTGGATGCACGGGTGGACATGAGGATAGGGACATGTGCGTGTGTAGATATGTGTAAGTGCAAATTGACGCATATGTGTGTATGTAGATATGCTGCATATTACGTATATATATGCATGTATGTGTGTGTATGTATATATATGTGTGTATGTATGTATGTATGCATATGTGTGTGTGTATGTGTATACATATATATGTGTGTAAGTGTATATGTGCGTATGTATATGGATGTATATGGATATACAGGTGTCCTTATGTGTATATATGTAAGTATAAGTGTATATGGAGATATGTATGGAGATATATGGATATGCGTTTTCTCTGCAGGTGCATATTTGTAAATATGGAAATATACATATGGTTTTTTCGTGTGAATGTGTGTGCAGGTGTATATAGGAACTTATAGGCATATAAGAAAAGTAAGACATGTGTAGATAAAAGGTTGTAAAAGAAGGACCTAATTTTCTGCTAGTGACATCTCATCCAAATCTCTCCTCTAATATTCTCCAATTGGAAGTGAGTTTTAAATAGCACGAAGGTAAAGTTTAAATTGGTATTTTAATTTAGATTGAAATATACTACCCCATTATTGATGATAAAATTATTTAAATGGGAATAACCGTTGATAATTAGGTACATAAAAACAATCACGAGTTTACTTAATGAACAAAAATCAAAAACAATCACGAGGTTACTTAATGAACAAAAATCAAACGAATAGATGTCAACCTAACAAGCAATAAGATAAAAGTTTTAGTAGAATAAAAAAGATTACTAAATATAAAATGGATTACTCTTTCAATGTACTGTCTATGAATTTTTCCAATCGACTGTTTCATAGAAAATACCCAAAACTCGACCGAATTTCAAATTAATTTCTTTGTAGATTGTTTAGACATTTGGATATTTATCAAACCATAACCTCCCAAATATGCACGTTAAAGTAACGCAAATTAACAGCGTCTAAGAATTTGAATGAAATCTGTCGTGTAATTGATTGGGGTTGTTGTAACTTCTTCCTTTAATGTCGGTCTTATATCTAGAGACGAGACGCGTTAAATTTGAGCAACATCTAGCCGACACACTGGGGTTAAAAATAGGAAACTAAAATGATACATATGACACACTCATATCCTCTCTCCCACCTCACCCCCTCACTTCGTTAATTTTACGTATACTTGATGAGGTCCGTAAAAAACGTGTGAATTTCTTTTCATTTTTCATTTCAGCTTTTGGAAGTAAAGTCTGATGATCCAGAAGCCTGTTAAAGGGGTTATGGTGAAATAGCTTATTACATGGAATCTTAACGTGGTCTGTCTTTTATTCAAACATATCTGCTCTGAATTTTACATTGAGCTCTCTGGATATCATCCTCCTCGGGTCTACCCATACGGATTACCTAAGTTTGCATAAACTATATATATATATATATATATATATATATATATATATATATATATATATATAAAGTGGACACTGAGCAGAGACAGTCTGTTTAATGCTTGAATGCAATCTTCAGACCATGTGTGTTGAGTTTTGACTCCACAACTAAAAACGAATACCCTGTAAAATGCCCTTAACGCAACGCAGACATACTTTAGGAAAAAAAACAATACTTTAATCTAAATAATAATAAAAATAAAGAAAAAATATAAGAAATTACGAATGCATGCATAAACACAGTTAAATAATAATAATAATAATAACGGAGATAGGACCTGTTACAATTCTATGGGCCTACACAATACACACAATCAAAGCAAACCGCCCAGACATTGTTATCAGAGACCACAAACAAAGAAAGTGCCTCCTTATGGCAGTCCCAGCAGACTGCAATATATCTTTGAAGATATTCAAAAAAGCTGTCAAAATACAAGGACCTTGAAATCAAAACCTCAAAAATGTGGCACATGGGAACATCAACAATTCCTGTTGCAGTTGGAGCCCTCGGGTTGGTTAGAAACGATTCCAGTAGACTCATTGAAGGGATTCATGGAAGCCCTTGCCTTAATGAAATGCAAAAAATTGTTCTCACGAGTACAGCCTACAGCCTACGAAGCGCTTTATCTATGTAAAATGTGTTTTCCTTTGATTTTGTCTTTTTGGTCAGTGGAAAATATGATGCCATTTCTGACCTAATTCTCTAGGCGGGACCCGGAAAGAAATGAGTACACACCAAAAATCAAAGAAAATAAAATAATAATAACAATCAAATCAAATAATTATATAATCGTTTAATAAATAATGAGTAAAAAGTTAACAAACAACACAATAAAATAACTCCAAATAGCTGCACTCGGATCCACAACTATTTCTACTCAATAGAATAATTTAAAACATATCTATCTATCTTGCGGCCTCAGCCGAGATTGAACTCACCAATACTTTGATTGGTGTAGTTCATAATCTTGTCAGATAGCTGATGCTTCGCTAGGGCTATCAAGGGTGTTTTTATCGTGACACCAACACTAAATGGATTGCCAAACAAGGCTCAGAGAGACTCCGTTCACCCTCCTCTAAGAGCAGGTTTGAATTCAGAGTTTTCCTTCTCCTAGACCAGTTGCCATCTAAGGCTATAGAACCCAGTCTGTCCTGCTATTTACCCATAGCTGGAGGGAGAAGAAAGAGGATTCACACCTTTCCCAAGGGTGTTAGGGTGTATTGGATTCGACTGGAATTCGAACTCTGCTCTCCGATTCCTCAATCCATTACCCCACCGTGCCTCCCAAACCTCCCATTCAATAACCGTTAGAAAAATACAATATACCTTGCTACTCATAACGCACATTGACCAGAATATATAAATACTCAAGCCAAAGCACAATACACATGGTCTCAAGATTTCATTCAAACATGAAACAGAATATCGCCGTTTGTTTTTGAGCTCAGTGTTCACTTTTATCCCTGATATTGAGCACTTTAACCAATAAACATAGCTATACCTTAAAAATACTTTTTATCACGCACACGCGCACACACACACACACACACATATATATATATATATATATATAATGAGAAATGTAAGAATGTAAAGCTAAAGAGCGAGTGTAAAGTAAAAAAAATTTAAAAGGATAAATAATCACGACACCGTACACGTGCGCACATCCGTGAAGAGGAATGCGCGTGCG